CAAAATCATCTTAAAGTTGTCTTCTCACTTCATCTAAAAGCCAAACTTGTGCCCGGTCTATAAATTTGCATTTAACCTCTGCACTAATAGGAGCACTAACTAAATAATTAATTAACATTTCTTTTTGCTGCATATAATTCTGCGACAGAGACATTATCAATTGGAAACTTCACATCATCCAAAAGTAGCCCTTTCAAGTTTACCACTTACAAGACTATCTCTTAACTTTTTTCAATCTCAGATTGCTAATTTTGAACACCCCCCCAAAATAAATAAAAACTGTGAGTAACAAGGTAACATTTAGAAACTGCTCCAGCTACATTACAGTAAGGAATTGATGGTTAACAGCCATATTGCTACTAGTATATTTGTCATATGAAGAAAAAATAAATTGACATGCTTTCATTTGGTTGTAGTTCAAAATGGATGTGGACCAACTGCAATTATTTCTTCTTCTTCTGACGTATTGAATTTAACCTGAAAGTACTGAGAATATGTATGACATGCATTTACGTGAATAAATACTTGTGAAAAGTACTCAACATAAGCTTTGGTCTCTTCTAGAAGTGAAATTTATTGTTTGCCACCGCCCTTGGTGGTGGTTTTTTTCTGGGTTTGGAACTGAGTTGTTTGCCACTGCTTGTTCCTGATAAAAGACAAGTGGGTTTCTTGATCCCACAGATTTCAAATTAATTATTCCAATATAATAAAAAAGTACTTGGTAGCATCATTGTCCTTTTTGGATTTTAAAATAAAGCTTCAACTACTTGTCAAAGAAACAAGAGTTGATTTCCCACCTTTTATTTAAACAGATTAAATTGGCACTGCACTAGCAAGAAGTTGAGAGATCAAAACAGACATGAATCTGATAGAGGTTAGGTAGGTTAACTGTGGATAAACAGTGTTCTAAGTATGATTAATTATGTTAGCTTGATCAATTTGCAGCAAACTTGAAAAACCCCCCAAAATGAATATCAAGCACTACCAAAATGCTTGAAATTTTCAAACACTTATTCTCAAGCTCCTTGTACTACTGTACATACCACAGACTGTTCTTTTGGTTGGCCTCCAATTGGTTCAAAAACATGATTCAGATCAGATGCCTTACCAATACATGATCAAACTGCATGCTATGCTCACCATCCTCAATTAAGTGGCCCTAAATGGCAAAATTAATTTAACATATCACACATGCATTAAGGTTTTCTTCTGCACTTTGCACACAGTAGTACTTGGGCATGTAAGGATTGTAGGCTTCGGCAACTGGGTCTTTCTTCTTATCATCCTCCTTCTTGCCTTCATCTTTTTTCTTCTCATCTTTCTTTTCTTCTTTTGCTGGTCCAACTGTTAGAATGTCTGTGTGCCAACCTTTTCTCAATTTGGCTACCACATCGACCGGGTCTATGTCGCCGATCACGGTTAATTTCCTCTCCTTCATGTCCATAGCAATAGAGTCAATGCCTGCAAAAATCACAGAACAGAGGAAAACAGAGTCCAATAAGTGCATGAAATATTAAATTTCAATAAAGTATATATGACTGAAAATTCTCTTGAGTCCAGTCACAATCTGCTACATGGATGCTCCAACATGTACTCAAAATTAAAATAATTGAAAGCTTTTGACGCACGTTATATTCAAAGAATCAAAAGTTCAGATGGAGCCAAAAACACAAAAACTGATCTGCTTAACTAGTTCATACCAGTAAGGCTGGAGACTGATTTCAAGGCCTTTTGCTTTTGCCTGTCATCGTGTAAATCCAATTTCAATACCACCTTCTGCAAAAAGAAAAAGAAAAAGAAATTTCAATCAGTATACGAAAATGGAAGGAACAAAACAATCCTTCTCGGACCAAAAATCAATGCTTTCTTCTGATACCAGTCACCAAAACTTCATAGAGATGGTAAAGTGTTTGAAGTCCAAACAAGTTACAAAAGCAGAAAAAAGAAAAAATAGTAGAGAAAAGGATGTTTCTCTTTTCTGAAATGATAAAAGGCAGAGGTCTTTAAAAATTAATTACCTATATGATATCAGACATATCAGATAAAGATATTGCCATCAACCCATGAATCTTTGAAAGAAAATAAATGAATAAAAAACAGAGAGTTGCAGAAAACGCTGCGCTGCATCAACAAGGAATGAAACTAAAGCATAAAAGATTGGGTTTGAAAGCAAAGTGAGAAACTACACCTTCATTTCACCTGGGTCCTGAGCTCTGACCAAGAACAATAAAATAGTAACAAAAACTAATCAAAAATTGTTCTGAGCCAACTGGGCAAAGGGTTATGAGGAGGAGGAGGAAGAAGAAGAAACAGAGAGGAGTCAAGAGGAGAAAAAGTCCTGAGGAAGACGGACAGACCAATGAGCCCAAGCCTGCCGCGGGTTTAATATATAAAGCCAACAAACCAAAAGTCAAGTACTTAAAGTTGGAAATGGAGGGGAAGGGCTTACCTTGTTGGACAAGGAGGCATCAGTCAATCGTGGATCTTGTCCTCGCTGGCGGCCCTGTTCGTTGTACGTTTGGGTAGTGCAAGAAATTGTGTGACCTTTCGTCGTGACTTCGGGTCTGTGGAAAATATATACGGGAGACTTTGGAAAAAGCGAAAGGAGACTTTCGTCGTGACCTTTATATTTGTATGTCTTTGATTTGAAAGTTGAGAAGTTTTTTTGTCTTTTCTGAAAAAGCTTTGGCTTTTTCCAAAAATGAAATTTTTTTTATGATTAAAACCTAAATTTACTAATATAATAATATCTCTATGTTTGTTTTTTTTAACTTTCTATTATTAGTTGATCTCATCTCATTATTGTAGCAAGAAATTAAATTTGTTTCAATTTTTGAACCCCATTAAGAATAGATGTGTCTACGAGTTGGCCAAATTTTGGTGGTCCTCTTCTCTATCGTGTGTTGCCTATTCTAATTTTTCTTTATATAAGTCACAAAAGAAATTGAATTATGATAGCGAAAACACCACACGTTTCTTAAGTTAAATCCTTCTCTCAATAATGCCAAGTAGATAGTTCTTTACATGCAATGCAATTATTCCCTTTCCCTTATAAACAAATCATAGTTTGACGGGTGTATAAAATTTGTCCGAGTCTCAGTTATATACATATGTCAAATTGTTATTGATAAATAGCAAAGAAAAAATAATGAGTCAAGCGATACTTTCAAAAAAACTAAATGGTTCTATAGCTTTTTTTTGTTACAAATGATTCTTATTTTCACGTTTTCCTTTGAAACTTATACTGAGAAATGATAAACGTTTTCTTTCGAAACTTATACTGAGAAATGAGAAAATTGAGTCAATTCAGTAATGAGATGCAAGTGCACGACTGTGTTCAGTCAATCAAATCATCTTCTTAAGACCTATGCTCCAAGGAAGAAGAAGAAAAAAAAAACGTTCAATACTCTAGGCAGGATTATTTCAACAAATTCTACTACTCTAGAACCATCTGGGTTGGTAGCAAAAGCATGGAAATGAAAAGTCAACATAAGAATTTATGTTGGGTTAAAAAAAATCTGCGAAATGGAAAAGAGAGGGAGGAACCAGTCTCTGGCTGACAGACACTAACAACAACTATTTAAAATAAATCAAAAAATTTCCAACTTGATAATATCCCATCAGATCATTAAATATTGCCTCCTAAAATAAAGATGATCAGCAATTTGGATATCGATGGCTACTGTCATCTACTCCACAAATTATTTTTTTTTAATTTTATATTTTTCACTATTTAAACATATGCTTTTAATTATTTAATTTAGTTTTATTTTATTTTTCTGGTCAAATATTATAATTTAGTTAGAAAAAACCGAACGCCACCAACGTTTCCACGTCCATGATAAGCACTGATGTCATCTTCCTTATTTTAAACATAGCATCCATTCATTTCTGTGTACATAAATATACACACGAGTGTGACAGTCCACTGTGTGTTAACGTTTTCTTCAAATAATAATTGGTATTGTAATTTAAATAATTTCGTTCCAATTTAATTATGAGCTGTATTATTTTTTTGTGTGTGTGTGTAGATTTACTTCAATTATGAGCTTAAATGATCTTAAAAAATTGGAAACTTCAAAACTGAGTAAGATCAATGATGTAATTGATCAGCTTCGACTGAATTTGATCCAACTATTAATATGACTAATATGATCAAATCTCATCATTAATAAATTGTTATTGCACAGTTTAGTATTTATTTTGTTTTTTCTTAATTACTCGGAATAAAAATCTAATGATTTAGACCGTAGTATTTGAAGGTTATATTTAAATTCATGGGTTCGATATAATAAATTCTTCTGTATGATGGTAACACCAAGCGGATAAATTTTGTCGCAATTGATTGCTATTGATGAGTATTCAGAAGAATTTATCCATAGGGTAAACTCTAGTTACTTTTTTTACTGCCTCTAAATTACGGTCAATTTATTATGTGAAAAACCTAACAAAGGAATTATACCACCTCTCTTTCTCTGCATACTCCTCGATTATGCAACTCTGTCTACACCAACTACCTCAAATTTCACCGAAGTGGGGGAAGGCTTAAATAAAATGAAGCATGAGGGCATCTAAACAGCTTTTGTCCTCTACCTAAACACCTGTAGATGCAAAACTCTTTCGGGTTTTGATTAACAGTACATAAACAAGCTGCTCTTTTCCTTGCTATACTGCAGCTTTCGGCCTATAACGATGACCCGGCAATCTCTAGTGCTTCCTCAACTGAAGATGCGTTCTGAAGCTTGGCTTTATCAACAATAGGCTGGCTCCTTGCAAGTTTCGGAAGGAGTTGAAATTCCTTGACAACACAGCATTAGGTGTTAGGGCCATGCAGGAAAAGACATGATTGTGACTTCAGATACTGTGATAGTCAGTTGAATTATAATACTAGTATTCGTTCTCCTTTTTGGGTATTATTTGGCAGTCTTTTCTGATAATGTACAAAATTTCAGAAGAAAAACTCTCACATAATCCATTTTGAAAACTAATTCATGTATCTGTTTCTTATCATTATGACTCCTCTATCATTACTGCTATCCAAAAGCTTGGCCCCCAACGACATGGTCAGGGTTCAAGCCCCAGCCCTGTTCCTTGTCTAGCAAAAAAAGAAAGTAAAACAGAACAAAATGTACCTCAGGACTTCCGCTCTCAAGAAGAACACCCTTCAATTTACCTGAAGCACAGCAAGAATAAACTTTTCATTTAAGCTGTAATTAAATAAAATAACAACAGTGTGAAAGACAGGGAGATTGTTTACCAGAATCTATCCAGAAAGTAGCAATCTTGGGATCAAAATTACCAATTTCAATGGTCTCTCCAACTGTTCAATAAAATGACAACAGTGTGAAAAAAAAAAAACACCATATAAATTAGAGCCAATAAAATTGCAAGCATCACAGATTCTTACCATTGTCCCCAAAAAATTGCCACCAAATTTTCCTGGGGCTTCCTTCATACTCAAATACCCTCGAGTAGAAAGATGGGAGATAATCATATCTGAATTTTTGGGCAGTAACACAAATCATCAACAAGGAAGTTTCAGCACAAGGCAATCAAGAAAAATGAAATTCATCTTGTATTCTAAAAGACTAGACTACAAATATAGAGAGGCAAACATACATGTCAGTTTGTGCACTCAGTAAAGCTTTAACGCAATGCTGTGCAGAACGACGAGCATGATCTACATGTTCAACTCGTGCTATACGGTTATACATCTGTTCAGTGGAACACATTTTCTTTCATAATTCAGATTAAGAAATACTTTTCTGCTTAATTTAAATAAAGTTATACCTTCAATGGGAATGCTGCAACATCTCCCACTGCAAAGATTCCAGGTACACGCGTCCGGAACAGACCATCAACCTTGGTTTCAAGGTACAAAGATATAAACAACAATAAAAAGCAAATGGACATTCTACTTAAACTAATCCTGGCTATCAGACTTTGAAATTATTGTTGTTCCAAGTTAACTTTCTAAATTCAGGATTCTAAATCCTGATATGTTTAATATGCACAGAATAAAGTTAATCTAGCATGTAAATCTGGGTCTATCTATATAAAGGTTGTGCACGATACATAATACAGTATATATGTCGATATTATATGCTAAAAAAAAGAAGGCGGCAAAATGTCATTTGTGTGTCACAACTTGTGGCAGCATAAATTTGGATATGCACCTGTATACCACCAACACTGGACTCCAAGCCCACCCTTTCAAAAGGACTGACAGCAGGTTTTGCGCCAATACCAATAATTACCTGCAAAAAGGAAAGAAACAGAACAGAAAGTATTCCAATTTCATGAACACAAAACTTGAAAATCTTCATTTATTATCCGAGATGAATGGGGAAGGTGACGCAATGATGAAAAAACCCTGACAGCAAAGGATGTGTAGGAACAGAAACTTACTGTGTCTGCTTCTATAGTAGATCCATCGTCAAGCTTAACATATGTTACACGTCCATCAACACCAGCTTCTAAATTTTTTATTGAGGCACCCTGGTCGACACTTAAATGAGCTTAATGATCCAGGTTGAATGGAAATTATCACATAGTATATGTGTGAAGCTTGCAAAAGTGGGGAGAGAGAGAGAGAGAGAGTACCTTCAAGAATTTAACACCATTCTGTTGGTAGAATTCTTCATATCTTCGGGCAAGTGAAGGAGTAAACAGCCTTTGCAAAAGATAATTTTCTGGAAATACGATCTTCAAAAAGAAATATAAACAAAAAAAAATTAAGAGAAGAAAAATGTAGATCCAAAAATTTCCATATTTAAAACTTTTTTCACTTCATGAACATTTTTGTTATGTCATCCCAAGAAACATAAAAAGGACCAAGTTGAATATAACACGCACAGTTGTATCAAGGTTCCAACCAATAGCAGCTGCAGCAACCTCCATACCAATATAACCACCACCAACAATAACCACCTTTTTTGCTTTCTCCTGGAAAAGAATATGCGAAATTTTACTGAAAGGAATATGCTACTAGTCCAAACAACAAACCAAACCTCAATAAAACATAGTTCTACAAGAGAGCATGTAACCAGGTATTAATTGACTAAAAGAAATTTATTGAACAAATTAAACCTCTTAAAATAAATTTACTAGGTTTGCACTTCGTTTATCCAGGGTCTGCATAACTTACCATTTAACTGAATGCTACAAGTAAATAATTGATGATTAATGAATTGAAGGGAACAACAACTACTACACTCCTAAAGCAGATATAGTGTCAAAATATGCATGTAATACACAAGCGTCATAAGACATTGAAAAAGCAGAATAAACACTATGACTGAACATGATAGTGCACTGCAGCGTAGAAAGCAAGCACACTTGCGTTATGTCAATCAAGTTTGCTTTGAAGTGCCAAATGACACTCAACATGACAATACAGCTAAACCTTCAAACAGTATACACTTGTGTAAATGATGTGGGACTTCTTCATCTCAGACAATATCCAACAGTGGCGTTAAAAGTTTAAAGAGGTAGATCGATTTCATTGCAACATGGAAAGAAACTAAAAACAAATTAATCTCAAACTTACCAGTGAAGATATTAGTGCATCAGCATCTGCAACATCCCGGATATAATGAACACCAGGTAGGTTTCCTCCAATTTTCTCCGGTAACCTGAAACCATTGTCAAGGAAGCAGCTTTGCTTTAGTTTAGCTATGTACAATCTATCAGCAATTATAATTCATATAAACAAATCGGTAACTGTCAAAAATTATCTAAACGCACCTTGAGGCTGTACATCCTGTGGCGACTATTAGTGATCCATACTTAAGCAGTTTGCCAGAATTTGTAGTCAGGGTCTGTTTTTCGATATCAATATTTGAAACCGGATCTTCATAGAACATCTAAATAGAAAGTTGGAAAAAGGTAACAACATTGTAGCATTACATTTGCACCATTGCAAAAAAAACTAATTTATAAAACAGTTCCAAAAATTGGGAAAAATGCTAAGAAAAGGAATAAAAATAAAATTTACCTCTATCCCATTTTCTTTATACCAGTCAGGTGTTTGCCTCTCCCCACCAGATCCAACACAAGTATGAAACCCCTATAACAATAATATTTCAAACTCTAAACTCCAAAACATTACCATAAAGACCATTATGTCATATTTCAGAAAATACTCAAAATTCATAGAGTCAAGTGTGATTTCAGCTTACAGGTAATCGTGCTGGCTTCTTATCTAAAGGGAACAAATATCCTTTTGTCAGGGCTGGACGCTCATAAGGAGCATGGGCCTGTTCACAAAACCCACCAAAACTTCAATAACAATAACCAAATAATTTTTTTCAAAAAGGATGGGAAATTTGATTTCACTACCTCTTTGGATACGATCGCAAGGCGTCCATCGGCCATTCCGTGTTCGACGAAAGTCCTTGCCGCATAGCCAGCCGCATTGCCACCACCAACAATCACAAACCTGCAAACACAAAGAGTTCCACACAAAAAAATAAAACTTGGTGCGAAAATTTAAAGCTGAAAAGAGTGAATTTTCGAATGACTCACTCCCGGTTCTCATTGGAGAAAGATGAAGACGAAACGACGTAGCTTCTGCGGAAGGTTCTGAATTCAA